AAGTAGGCCGATAATCTTCACCAAGCAGAAAATTTAAATTGAGGTTTAAATTTGTGCGTTAACGGACCCCAATGTCTACCGGAATATTCAACCCACCAAGGTCAACTTATCGTGGGTTCTTTCCGTTGCGTTTGTAAAATCGTATGTAAGTGAGTAGCCAGTTACGTAGAGAGAACATGTAGGGCCCTGGTTTCTTTGTGAAGAAATACGTCCAACGTGAAATTGACCAAGAATGAGATAATCTTGCTAAGATAATAACTACTAGATGTGTGGTAACTATTAAATCTAGGGTTGACGTTCAAAACGGCCATACGAATACTGTGATAATCAGCCGGTCTAAAGGGGATCTGTGAGGTAAACAAAATTCTGCGGACGTTATTCATTTTACGCTTCAGACTTATTTGGTCGCGCCCCTATTTAAGTATGTAATTGTTTAAGGAGTATTTTTAATGGTAACGAGGAGAATATGTGAATAGGTTGCATCCAATAACTTTGGTCTCCTTGCTGTGCTTTCAGCAAAATTAACAAAAATATACTATCGTATCATATAACTTAATTAAATAAGACAGACAAAAGTGATATCCGATCCATGCGTTGATACGTTGCTAAAGCTAAATTGTGACTTGCAACTATGGACCAAATTTTAATGTCAAAAGACAATAGTACGTTAGCTAGAATATAAATGTAAACACAACGCATTGATTGATAAAAAACTGCTGAAAATCTGTCGAAGTTAAGAGTAAAATACAGATTACTTAAATTTGAAGCTGAAAGAAATGCCAAAGGTGTTAAACATGTGGCCGCTTTAAATAATTCACTATGAGTAAAAATGACGTAATGCCATTCACGTCAAAGACATAGTCATGTCAACTGACGTTTAATGACTCGAAGAACTCTTTTGCAAACTTGAGAGTCTCAGCGTATCCAAGCATATAGTCATCAATGGAAGATAGAAATGACTTGTCGCATCACAGCAAACAAATGTGCGCAACACATATTTAGACATCGGAAAATGAGTCAGCGAAGAAGCTGGTTTATGGTGGATCTCGTCAGGCTTGTACACCACAAATGGTCCGAATATAATGTGTTAAAATATCCAAAAAGAGTAAACTACAAGGGGTAAAGTTCAAAGGCCTAGGTCATCTAAATGACATGGTCGGGTGGTTGGTTTACAAGCGGTCAAGGACCTGTCAGTTACACGTTCCCAAACAGGGTTTACTGTGATATAGGGCCAACGAATAGAGAGCATCTTAACCAATCGCTGTTATGCACGTAGATCTAGGTTCTGACGTCGGTTGGCGATCGCTTCGACTGTTGCTAATAAGCGACAGCTTACCGCTCGTATGTAACATCCAGGTAATTGATAAATGGTCCGAAAATATTGGTAAGTATTAATTTGGTGGTTAAAACCAACTAAGTTGGTCAACACCGCACTCGCCACTCTTGGCTGAAGAAAGACCACATAGGCCCTTTCAATCATTCAAACAAAACAAGAATGTGCTGCTCTGTAGGCCGGATAAAGGGGCAGGGATCGTTCTGATGGAGATGAATGACGTTACTAAGGAGATTGAGGTGATCCTGAGCGAGCGCGTCAAGTTTTGTAAGACGGCGAATGGACAGACAAAACAACGGCAATAGAAAAGACAGTTACTAATCTTTCACGGCGCCTGAAACAAGAAAAGGTGATTGACTTAGCCAGGTGCGAAAAATATTGAGCTGCGGGGACAGTGATTCCGAGAACTTACAGCTTACAGAGGTTACAAAAGGAGGGGCTTTCACTTAGACCGGTATTGGACATGTGTAACTCAATTTTAACACACAACAGCCAAGTGGCAACTTAGCTTATAGAAACCAGTGAGAATAGTTATATCTAGGTCTGGTCTCTGTGATACATTCAGCTTCTTAGACTGCATGAGACATCATGCGCTAACCGAAAGACAGATGTTTTCACTGGGTGTTGTGTTGCTCTTCATGAATGATCCTTTAGAAGAGACAGTAGACTATGTACGTGATACCATTCCATCACATCAGTCAAACGTCGGCCTTTCGAATAATCGTTTGAAACAGCTATTCACGTTGAGTACCAACAACATGCACCTTCAGTTTAATGGGGTGATATACAGACTAAAGGACCGAGTATCGATGGTCTCACCACTAGGACCGCTGTTGGCAGATGTATTCATGAACACATTAGATAACAACTATCTGAGTGCAGTGGTTGGCATATTATCCTATAACGGTCGACATGTGGTTGATATATTTTGTGTGACAGCCAGGCAGTGCTGCACAGAGTGAATTTAACCACAATTTAACTCCGTGCAAGACTATGTAAAGTTCACCCTGGAATCTAAACTTCATGGTACGATATCCTTCCTAGACATCCAACTTGGTAGATCAGGGGGGTCGATCCAACGCAGGGTGCACACAAAAGACATGTAGAATGGAAAATACATACATTTTGCCATCTTTGTCCCACTAAACCTGGATGCCACACAGGAAGGCTAAGATGTTGCTTATTAGCAACAGCCGAAGCGATCACCATCCGACTTAAGAACTCACACCTATGTGCGCAAAAATATTGTCTTGCCATTACTTGCATTTCAAAGTTTTACACCAATCCAATACAAGAGGGCACGTGTGAAGCACTTATTTAGTCGTGCTAGACGATTATGCTTGGCAGACTGTCTAAGCCAAGCATCCTTAACCCTTATTCAGCCGTGGCCCCTTTTTAAACCTTCCCATTTCCTATGTCTCCCCACCCATGATCACGACAATTTAAGCAATCCGCGACGCGTAACAGACGCAAATCTGTGATTTTCGGTGGTCATATTTGTATCAGTTGTTATGATGATTGAAATTTTTAATGTTGGTATCACTGCTCTTTCCCTTACAAACCCTAAATTTTACCTTTCACAGCCTCATGTTAACATTCATTATGCGTTAAAATCAAGTCAGTTACCTGTATATAGACAAAACTCATCAGTTATATTTAAACTTGTATTGCTTATCGTTGGCTTTTAAATATATGGCATTTCATAAATTAGGAATTGTAGTAACTTCGTAACAACATGTTTGTCGAGGTACACAGTGACGCACGAAATGTCGTGCCACTTGTTTTGTTCATTACACGTGTAATATTATCGATTTAATGTTAAAATATTCTATTCATACACTTTGGTTTATGGAAAATTCGATAAATGTCACGAGAAGTTAGTATGGAATATTTTCTTGGAGCCAAACAATTGCCGCGGAGGTGATTAACAGTGGATTGAGTGTTGAACAGAAGGTGAAAAAGGATCGGTATAAAGACTTGTCGAAAAAGGGAATTATTCCAGAACTTTTAGCAACAGGACTCCCAATGCAAACTCAATGATTTATGCAACACAGAGTCCGCCCAAACACTGCAAATGTTGTTCTTGACTACCTGTATGACGTGTGATGGGCGGGTAATGTCACATCGATTTTCGCATCCGAGAGCAAGAGCATTTCCATACGTATGCATCTGTTTTTACTTTGGGAAAGTTTCTCACAATTTCACGAATTATTCGTATATATATATATATATATCAGTATTATGAAACTCTTGGTGAACGACCGGGTAATATGTTTTCTTGTGTACAACTTTTCACTTTTGATTCTAAAGCCATCTCAAGTAGAACCAGCGCAAAATTGTGTAACTTTTATGATGTTCTTGGGGGACATTTCTAATCAAAGTATGCAATGTGAAATTAATTGGCGGATAGTTACCGTTTCCAAAGATAACTAGGAGTACGCGTACACAGTTTGTAGTATAACATTGCCGATTTTTCAAGGGTAGGGCAATGCTGTTCATGCGATACCTCTCGTTGCAAACTCCGAATTGTAACTGTTCTTCAAAAGGGATCACAAGTTCAGGCCAGAGGCATGTTACGGGTGTGTGTGGAGCGGTAGTTAGTCAAACTGATAGATGTAGGGTTTGGGTGTTGGGAATATTTATGACCAAGTATGATTTCTTGTCCATCAGCCGATATTCATCAAGTCTGGACACCAAATTCTCTACAGCCCTACTCCACCAATTATATTTACAAAGGTGTTAGTCCTTAATATTTCCAAATGCCTAGCAACTGGCTTTTCTTGGGTTAACCGTAAGCCACACAGGGCAAGCTTACCATTTTCGAAATCAATGACTTTTCTTGGGTCCAACGCATGCATTTGTACCGCAGTCTGGAAAAATCTTTATACTTGTTCTCATTCCTCTGTAATCGTGATGTGCGCGCCTATGTTCTCAAATGTTCTTACGTAGATCACTCGCTGCCTAGATGCACCTGTGCACAATATTTACTCAGGAAACTGAAAATGCCTTTCTTCGCCCACTCTGCATAATCAACTCACCCACGATCTTTATGCAAGGTAGATCAAATTGATTCTAATTCACCTTAACTTAGGTAGCTTACGTGTCAAAAGAGAAAGGTTGTGTGTTCAGCAAATACTTCAATCTGCCGATAAGCAATCCTTGTGAAACGGATAGGTGGCGCAGCAACAATACTCATACAACATACAGGGAACACTGCACAAAGGTTACTGTGTTTCCCATGGATGTTATTCAAAAGCAAAGTGGCGGATATTTCGACAAAAAGAAACTCCTCTGCAGGAAAGTCCTACTTTGGCTCAGGGGAAGTGGGCGATAAAAATACTACGATCATCGTTGCTATAACAAAGATTCAGTGTAATTTTTCCAATGAAAACCGGAATCCTGAAAGCTTTCCTTTTAATCAGTTTGAAATTCTCGCTACTTTTTCAAATCCTTTAAAATTCCGTTTATGCTGCAATATTTTTACCAATCATATACCGAGGTTGAATTGCTAAAGAGTTAGACATTAATTTATCAAGAACACGACAGCACAACTAAGTCCGTTCTTTTTACGTCGAACTGGTTCAAAGACGTAGTTAGTTGTGACCAACTGCTTGCTTGGTTTATAAAGTCTTACTTGTGTGTATATGTTCACCTTATGTATTTTTAGGTTTTTCCATGAAGTTGAGTCACGGGATTGATTCAAATTTAGAACGCGAGCCAATTTCGTCCGAGCATGGATTAAACTCTTTAACTGAGCCACTGCCACTCTATTCGGGACTCTACGCTCTACAGTATACTCTCCTGGGTGGCTCTTTGGTTCACAGTGGAACTGTTAACACATCTTCAACCGATTCGAAAACTCGCCTCAGTGGACAAACTACATCTTGGAGGTTAGTAGCAACAACGAACGCGTCACAAGAGTCCAGCAATGCTAGTAATGTAGAACCGATGTATTTGGCAATCTGGATTCATCTTGATGATGGCTCGACGCTACTGTGGAGCCATATGGTCGAAGTAAGTTAACAACCGGCATTTTACTTAGTCATTATGTCAACATAGTTTGTTGGCTGCTTGTTGCAATGAACAAAAAAATGGCAGTTTCGTTTCATTACGCTTACACTACGCGTAGTTCATGAAGATTGATGGCAAAGCGGTGAAACACTGGCGCAATTTCTCGTCAAATAGAAAAACGGTAGTGAAGTGGATGTTGGTGAAACGACAACTAAGGATCACAGAACGAATACAGAAATTTGACATAAAGTGTGACCATGACTACTTCATAATAAATCAGCAATCATTTAGTAAAGACGCGCTACTCTAAATATTTCCAAGAGGTCCAAAATTATGCCCAAAGCTGTGGGTTGCGTCTGTAGTGGCCTCTTAATTTTACCCCATAAAGTTCCGGAAATATCCCTTACTAATGAGAAGTGGGTATTTGGTATAATTCAAGGATAGTTCCTCATAGTCCATTTTCGGTCATCAGGCTTTTGCAGGTCTGGAAAAGCACCAGCCAGCGCTGCATCGAGCTTCTTTGTTTCCTCAGTGGCGCGCCTTCCATCGGATTCCTGCCGGGGCTAACTACTGTCTTTCGCATAGTTCGTAACTTTCATGACAGTGGGAGATGAGCCGGACTATAACAAAGTCAATTATCAAGCGTGCAGATGCACGACCGTCTCCTATGACTTAGTAGGACTTGCTGACGCATCCGGAAGTCATGGGGTCGGAACCCCGCCTTGGCGCCGATGTAAGACGCACCTCTGATGGGTCTCAGAATGTCGCAACAGCGCTTTGTAGTGCTTTCCCAGACTAGCGAAAGCCTGCTGACCGAGAGTTGGCTATAATGAATTATCTCTGAAATATCCGTTATTTGACTGGTTAGGATTGACTACTAGGTTGGCTGTAAAAATTAACATAATAGATCACGTCGCCCAGTAGAACCGGAAGCAGGGACTAACATCGACGTATGTTTCTCATCTGTATTTAAAATATAATCCACACTCTCCGTGTCTCAGAATTTCGACGCGCGAAGCACGAATGCTGCAACCTATTTTCATGGTGTCCATGGTTGTTAAGGTAAATTTAAACGGATTGGTTTTGGTTGCATCAGTGCTTGTTAATAAATACGTCTGTAAAATTAAAGGTATTCCACAATCGACAACTAATTGTTAATTTACCCTAATCACTTTTCCAATATGAGGTCAATGTTACATCGTTAAACCATTCCAGGATGGATTACAAGGAAATCGGTAGTTAATTATCAACTTCTTGGCTGTTTTAAGTACAGTAATGCAAATGCTTTTTCTTAATTGCTCTAGAAATTTTAACCTTTTCTACGCATCCTGTAACTAACATTCATTGTGTGATACCACTTATATTTTACTCTAGTTTCGACTACGACCATAATACACCGAGTCTTCAAGTCTTCGTGTTTCTTCTCATGAGTTTGCAATTGCTTTGATGATTTGGAAAGCAGCGGTAGCTTCCAGCCCAGATTACAGTATCTCTGCTATTGGTAAGGGCATTGCTTATGGGTACCTTACAGAAGCTAACTTTGACAGCAGCGTTTTTATTACCTATGATATCTACTCCAATTTGTTTGATATATCATCCCTTTTGCAAATTCTTAACACCACTGCATAAAGTCTGTCGTATATTTGTCCATTATACCGGTCCAAATTTCCGATTCGACCAGCAAATGCTATTCTCTGACAATTTAGCTTGTGGCCTAAAACTTATCATTAGTTGGATTCTTTCAGAAATTTGAGGATAACGACAAGTAAACCACGACAGTTAGATACACACATTTTGTTTACAATGATCCTAATGCTGGCAAGTACATCTTGATGCTGAAGTTGTTTGTGGGGTTAACCTAGCTGGGTACTTTAACTGCATTCGTTTCATCATCAACAGAGTTGCTAGCATCTGTACGCCACTCTGCTGCTAATTCATTTATCCTTCCGTGATCGACCAACATAAGACCTTTGTAATAAGGAACGTCGATTCACGTCCTGTGACCTATGTCAATTTGTCTCCTCGTCTGAAGCGGCTGCTTGGTGTGTGTGTGTGTATACCGTAGGTTGCTTCGAATACCAGTTTACAACTGCATCAAAATTGCGTTTTTTAATTATTTCATTCGTGCCTTTTGATTGAATTAAAAAGGAGAGCTAAACTTCTGTGAACCTTATGTTGTGGTTCCCCGTTTTAGGCATGATAAGCATTTAAGTTTCTCGGTCACAATTTATTACGACTAGTTCTCAAGGTGCCCAACACTAGCGCTGATTTGGTAAATTCTTTCCATGAGCTCAGCATGTTGTCCTTGGGGATGTATATCACAATCAAAAAATATGAATGTGTCACACCTAGCTATAGATGAAACGAATAATTAATTTACAGCAACGACTTTTTGGCTATAAACATGTTTCTTCAAGTTTGAAAATTAAAGCTGTTCATATTTTACTGTGGTAGTGGTCGCCCTTGGTTTGTATATTACAGAGAAATACCATTACTTTGTACCTTGTAGCTTCCTGAAAGCTGTACCTAGGGAACCTCGATGTGTTACAGTACAACAAGCTATGTCAAGACCAAGGCCACCTTAATATCTAAAGTGAATGAACACTCATGTATAAAGAGTGAAGATTTATACCCCTAGCTAACTTAAACTAATTTGAGTTTGCTACTTCCCTGAGCTACTGTATGCCCTGCAGAATCTCTACCGTGACGGACCAGGTTTCTGAATTAACAGAAATGCGGATTTGTACTATCCGGCTAATGGATGAGATTTAACCGAATCCACACCAGTTCTAACCATGCGGGAGCTGCAAGGATTGGCACGGGGCCAATATGGTTTTTCCTTCATAAAAAGCATATGGAACATACCGCGTCCCATTATTTCCTTTTAAAAATGTGGCGAACAAGAAGTTGTTCCTCGTAATCCTTAATAATGTGTTTCAGGTAGGTCCGCTTAGTACAGCGTGAAAGTCACTGCAAACAAGCAGTCGGCCTTTGCGAAGTTCCCTGGCAGTCAAATGCAACTAGCTGGTTGCCGTATATGGAAATGGCTCGCCTTTTAATGATAATCCTCAGCAACGCACCCGCACATAGTGTTGAAAACGAAATTCTTATCTGAGTAGCTATTAGTATCCCCAGACAGATGGTTAAGCCATGGATGAATGTGGCAGACTTCAAAGCTGACTACCAGTCGCGACAAATTGAGATTTATCCCCCGCTGTCATGTGGGCTGTAACCATGCAAACAAATGAGTCGGCTCCCAAATTTATCTCTTAGTTACTAAGAAGCATTAATCTCCTCACAGACTGGTATGAAATGGTAAGAGTGGTTTTTACATAACGATTGTTTGCTGCGCCTTCATAATATGCATGCTACCTCAGGGTGACCCTGTTGCATTGCAGTTATTTGTCATGCAAGTTTATCTAGCACCGTCATATATATCTACAATTGGTCAGATTAAAATTATTGTTTATGATCCGTCAGTATCCAGTGAATTCGCCACAATAGCGGCTAATTTTGATTAAAAAATTACCATGGTATGCTTTAGACGTAAGGTTGTTCAGATACTCATAAAACAGACATTTTATGTCTAGTTAGCGCAATGTGCGATTCACAGCATATGAAACTGCCCGTATTTTACATTTTTTATTTCGGTATTACTAAGTGAGAAAACTGCAGCTAGTACCTGAAATTAGACGCACATCACACGGATGCTTATAACATCCATTCATTCATCGTTCACCGTATCTGCACTAAAGCGCTGCAAACATAGAGAAAAAAGTTCTAATTACAATGAACGTGTAAAGATGGAGGCTGCCTTGAATAGTTACAATCTTATGCGGAACAAACGAATAGTTAGTTGCAGGAACTTCCGGAATAAAACTTGGAAGTACGCGTACCGTGCGTGCTATAAAGCGTGGAACCACCTTGACTCCAGAGAAGGAAAACCATGCCAATTGCGCAGCACTTACGAAGAAATTACGAAGGACAAACTATAACCATGAGAGCCGCCGTTCTTTAGAAGCGCAAGAGTATAATTGCAAATATTCGATACTAAATTAAAATCCGATCGTTTGCTAGGCTGACTGTATGCTGCTTAATAACACGAAAATAAGAATATAAGCACAGCGCTATTTGATATCATATATATTTGATAGGTATTTCATACCTTGGAAACCGTAGAATTTAGAAACGCTGTTTTGAAAAAAACCAGATGCGTCCAGCATCATAATTCTGCTAGTTTACGTCAGATCTCGATTTGTCTGGAAGAAGGATTTTTTATTTTTATTATTAATTTTGTACATCGGTGGCTAAACAACAAATTTATCTACTTTGTAGGCCGTTTCAGCTTTCGTACCATCTAATTCGAAAAAATACAATGCTATGTCGGTTTTGCTTTTGTATGCATCATTTATCACCATTTACCTACATTCACTTGAGTGCAATTTACTAGCTCCAAAAATTGCTCAATTGCCCTTTGGATATCTTAAATCACCTCAACCTCTTAGGCAGGTACGCAATCTTGTTGGATGTCAAAGAAACGCACGCGTGAAACCATGTTAGTTTTCATGCACATATCTGAAACAAATTTCTTGACTTTGTGGACTTTACTAGAAATCTGGCCTTGCCAATGCCATTTGCAGTCACTGTATCCCATTTCCGGTAGTTTGCTGCTCGTCCAAACAAAACCGGAATTATTCAATAAATGGAAGACACTCTCCATCATTTATCCCCTTGTCAGCCAGTACATCAATGTAACCTGCACCGACCGCGCAGCCTCACCAAAAGTGACGCCTCTGGCCAATGTGCGCAGCGACCAACATCGGACATGTACAAAACACCAAGCTGCTCAGTGTCAAGTAACTACACCACTATGAATGCCGGTACTCAAGTGCATGCAAATAGAAATAGGGCTCCAGGCGAAAAGTGTCTGTGGATTAGGAGAATGTAAGCAATTGGTTAACTTGGGGTTATGCTGCACCAAATGGTGAAATGGCATCATCCAC